TCTCCACGCCATATCATCCCGCAGGCAATGGTCAGGCAGAATCCTCTAACAAAACAATACTGAACATCACGAAGAAGAAGCTTGAAGACGCCAAGGGACCGCGGTCGAAAATGCTACCGAAAGTGCTATGGGCATACCGCACCACGCCAAAAACGAGCATAAGAGAAACGTCATATTCACTAGTCTACGGGACTGACGCAATGATACCAGTCGACGTAGGGGAGCCAAGTTTAAGATACTCCAACAAGAGCGGACCAAGTAACGATGAAAGCAAAAAATAAGACCTCGACGAAACAGATGAACGAAAAGACATGGCCTACGTAAGAATGATAGCTCAAAAACAGCAAGCAGAACGATATTACAACAAAAAAGCCAAAGCCAGAACACTCAAGGTAGGGGATTATGTACTCAAAGCCAAAACACAAGCGAGCAAAGACCCACGAGAAGGCAAACTGGAAACCAATTGGGATGAACCATACAAAATCACAACAACAACAAACAAAGGGTTATTCCGACTAGAAACAATGGAGGAAAAACTACTACCAAGCAATTAGAAGGTCGCCCACCTCAAATACTTCAACTTCTGAAGATGGACGTCCTCCAAGTCGTACTCTTTTTCCCTCACTTGAGTTTTGTCCCAATTGGGTTTTCTCGGGGAGGTTTTTAATGAGGCGATGAAGGGGGCGTCTCAGAGTTTAGGTATTTAGTTCATCGCCCCGCCTATCGACTACCTCTCTAGGCCAAGTGATGAAGGGACTAGATAGACTGGGACTCCTCAAATGTATGTACAAACCAAAGAGAAATGTAGTATTCTCCAATGAATAAATAAAGCAGTATTTCTTATGTCTCCACCAAATTTGCACATCATGCCAACGCAAAGGCAACATACATTTGACCTCGTTCGAATCATTCTATATTCAACTTCGCTTGAATTAACCTAAACTCGACCTCGTTTGAATTAACTTACATTCGACCTCGTTCGAATCATTCTACATTCAACCTCGCTCGAATTACCTTACATTCATCCTCGTTCAAATCAATATACATTTGACCTCGTTCGAATCATTCTACATTCGACCTCGCTCGAATTAACTTACATTCGGCCTCGTTCCAATCAATATACATTCGACCTCATTCCAATCAAACTAAAAGTCAGGAACTTTCTCGCAAAAGAACTCAGAAAAAAGAGAAAAAGAAGAGCTAGAAATACACAACAAAAGACAACTGTTTGATTTCAATCATTCCATTCCAATACAGTTTTACAAAGGGCTGGAAAGACGCCCCCACAAAAACAGCAAAACACAAAAAAGCAAAAATCAAGTACAAAGGCTTCACGCCACATCATCCCGCCATCACCAAAGTCACCGACATACTCATCGTCGTACCAAGGGTTGGAGGCAAGCCTATCCAAGGCGTCTTCGTCATCGTCTCCTCCGGGCGTATCAGGATCATAACCACAAGCGTCACAAGCTGCACGCGCCTTATCTCGAACATCCTCAAATTCAGCCTCGAAAATCTTCCCAGCCGTCTTTAGAGACCTATATATGTCAAGTTGGGCCTCAGCATGAACCCACATTTCATACAACTCACGTGACATACCGGGAGCGACAGAAGTATGAGAAGTGGATGGCTGAGCCTGCACCTGCGCCTTATCGGCCCTTAGGGCGACAACCTGCTCATTCAGATGAGACAACTCCGCATCCAAACCCCCAATCCTCTCCTCAAATCTCGCTTCCTTAAGCGCCGAAGTTTCCGCCGTAGCTCGCTTAAACCTGCAAACTTGAAGGGCACCCCCTAAGGCTGCCGCCTCCGCCACAGCGGCCATTCTTTCTTTCTCGGCTCTACCCAACTCTTCAACCGTGGTGCTCAACTCATCCCGCATGTTGACGACCCTTGTTTCACTATGCTCGAGCTCGGCCCTTAAAGACGCCACCTGCGCCTAAAAGTTAGTATTTTCGGTCGTCACTCCCTTGCTCACCTCGAGCTCATCCTCTTTAGCCTTCAACGCCCCCTCAAGCACACTACATCTGTCGATGGCCCTCATAAGCTCTTTGTCTTTCTACCTCAACTCCTTATCTTTCTGATTGAGCCAATCACGGAGCATCTGGAATTGGCTGTCCTGGTTAAGAAAGTCAACTAGCGTTCGGTGTTTTGAATGGTACTCTCTGTGCTTGGACACCTTCTTCTTGAAGAGGGCCGTCCTTCGCTCTTCTCGCCGATCACGCTCAATCTCCATGATGAGGGTGTGACATTCAAAAGAAGACAGGTCAGCGGCAGCAAATTACCCATACGAAATGAATTAACACTAACATGGGAAAAGCAAACTCACTCGCAAGGCCATGCTGGATATGCCCAACGACAATCCGCATCCCTCAGTGTCTGCAGCGCCCTATTCTCAGAATCCGCACACAGAGGAGTGAAGGCCGACACCACCCGTTCCGAGTTGGACAAGAGATCGTAATCCATGGGAATGACTATCTGCCGATCAGGCCCCTCTGTCCTTATCTCCACTCGGGTGAACCTCTCCTCAAAAGCCTGCATCTCCTCAGGGTCGATATCGGAGCCCAACTCATCATCTTCTACAAGGACGGTTTTATCCCTTCCGTCCACTGATGATGAGCCGACCAGACAATTCGTGCAGGTTCCCCTTAGACATAGGTCCCCTCAACTTATGACAGCCCTCCCTCCGTGACGATAGCCGACATGGGAGCAGCCTCAATGCCAAGTAAAGGCGTCGCCTCCGTGTCCAAATCAATGGGCCTTTCCGACTCGGTATCAGTAACATCAACCCTTCCAGTCTCCACCCTCTGCCTTTTCCTCAGTACCGCCTCCCCCTCGTCATGAGACGACTCATCAATCAGGTGCAGGATGTGGTGATCAGAGGTCTCAACCGACGTAACGACTGCTTGTGGAGTGGAATCACCCAACGGCAGAGCTAGAGTTTGATTCTCTCGTACAGACTCAGCTAGTACAAATTGCATTCCAGCCGATGCGATTGCTTGGCGGAACACGGGCACCAGAGCCTTTGTCTTTTTAGAAGCTCGCCGAACTGGCGCAAAAACAAAATCATGTTTAACAAAAATGACGACAAGGCAGTGGTAAGCTATAACGAAAGCAAAAGGGTCGTAGAAAAGGAAATCAGACTCACTAGTCAAAGACTTGGGACCGAACTGCCTGTTAAATGACAACCAATCACAAATCCCTACAGTATGAGGTAAGACGCGAGCCACCCAATATTCAATGTCAGGAACCAGGGGAGGTGGATGTTTACCAGCTGAAAGTAGAAAGACATGAGTAAGTCAGAAACAAAAGAGGTGGGATAAACAAAACACATGACGAACGGTAAAAGCCCCTTCGATTGAAGTTCCACTGCTCAGGGAACCCGGCCGGGTCCGCCACTAGGTGCTCGATCCTGACAAAGAAGTAGTTGCACCAGAACCGGCGGTTCGCCTTATCATCCATCCCTGTCACCAATCCTTTAGTCCCCCGATGGCGGAGTTGAATCAGCGTGCCTCTATAGAAACTAGGCGTGAAGAGGTGCAACAAATGACGATTGGAGACTTCACAACCGGCCAACTCTGCGAACTTCGCCAACATAAAAAAAGCTTTATATAGGTAAGGGGAAAGCTCCCGGGCAGACGCCATAAAAGAGGCAGAACTCCTCAGCAAGTGGGGGAAGAGGAATAGAGTAACCCACCAAAAATGGGTATTGGTAGAAAGCGCAATACCCAGGTCGGTGAACTTGTATTGAGTCGTTCCTCGCTGGAACGATGTAGACGTGAGTAGGAATACGAAATTTAGTCCACAGGTCAGATATTTGCTTCGATCCCATGACTGATAGTACCTGCTCAGAAGCAGGGGCAGGTTCCTTCTGAAAGTCATTTCTGATCGACGGGTTCCGAGGAACTATCTCCTCCACGGTAGGAAAACTTTCGTCTTTCGCAATCGTGGGTTCGCCGCTACCAGAAGGCATAACTACTGATAAAGGGGTGGCATCAGAGACTATATCAGAAGTGTGAGGGGAGTTTGTCATTTCTGCAATAAACGTGTATACAGTAGAACCGGAAGAAGGGTATCAACGGGAAGTGTATGATCAACAGGAAAGCTGGAGCTGAAAAGCAGAAGTGAAGCGGAAGCAAGGGTTAGAGAAGAAGCAGAAGAATAAGCAAAGTGCCAAATGAGTATGAAGTTCGAAAAGTCTCATTTTTGAATCTCCCTTCCCCTATTTAAAAGGTGCTTTGGCGCCAAGATCGATGCAAGAAATTGTCACCGACACCAAGATCAATGCAAGAAACTGTCACTGACACTAAGATCGAAGCAACAGAGGCGTCGAAAACGACGCATTGCATCGGGAAGATGAGTAATGATGACACGCGTGGTCATGACGCCATCCTATATTCTCCCATATTGTACTTTTTAGGGTTTTCTAGGGATATCTCTTATAAATAGGAAGAGAGATAAACGTTTGGGGGATCAGAACTTTTGTGAAAGAACATCTTGTAAAGAGTTAACTATTAGGAACATACAAAAAGCTGGTTTCGTCTCTCTTGTTTGGCTCCATCACATACTATTCTTCTTTGGTTCACAAGATCCAATAACACATAGTCCACTTCATTTGTCTATTGTCACACGTTGTAGTCAGAAAAAGGAATCACCCATTTCATCCAATATTTGGGTGACAAATTCTTTCTTATTACATTTAATGCCATTTATCACATTTATTGAATGTTTTCGTCATCGCATTAATTACTAGTTATTGAGCATTAACTCAGCATTTGTTAACTTGGACACAGACCCACACCGTCTAAGTTGATTAATTTCGGATCTAGAATTTATTACTTTTAACTTGAATTCACCCCATATCTATTTATTAAATTGGTTTAACTAAAAGGGTTTAGAACTTTTTGGTCAAACAATTACCATTCGCCAACATGACCACTACTTAAAAGCCAACCAAATGGTAAATGATAAAGAAAGATATAAATCTTAGTATAAATCAATTTTAAGAAGAAAAACAAAGTAATTATGTAAAGCAGTTTACACATTTTACTCCCAACTGAACAAACCCCAAAAGTGAACAAGATCATGCCACTGGGAGGAGAAATCTTGTTGTGTTGTCTCATAGGTTCTTTCATGACCACTACTGGACTATAACAACCATCAGACCTCAGCAAGTTTACAACTCTACGATGTAAACTCCATAAAACTAGAAACCTTGGAGCATTACTTCGTCCAGTAAACAAGTTGATCAAGCATCCCGATAGATATGTAAAACTTGGCGTAGTAATCGGACAAGCAGTATCCTACTACTCACTGAAATACCTGACATATTGGTATCAGCGGACCAGTCACATGTGAAGAATGTGTTCCGGGGAAAAACTTCCTGATGTATATTCGTGCTAGAGACAATTAACCATATAACTTCAAGGCCACTGGACTTATGGGAGAGAAGCCAGCTGGTGAAACGAGTGCGTCTACTGGAACATCATTAGGAGTGACACCGATAGCACCCTCATCCACTATCTGAATGGAATATGCAAGGGCAACTGCAAGAGAGAATTTTAATTAAACTGAGATGGTATAAGATGAAGGCTTCACAACACTTTCACATGCATAGTAGCAAGAAGACATAAAGAGATAACTTGTTTAGAGATTCTCCTATATAGTCAATATGATAATGCCAAGGAAAATACTGAGTCAGAGTATTACCTAGTAAGGGTTGCTTCCAGTGTTTCTCCTTGATTAGATCTTCATACTTCCTCAAGAACATATCATAATAACTTCAGGAATTTGCCGTATGCCAGAACCAAAACAAAGGGATTAAGAAAAGATAATTGCATTCAGTTTAATTATAGAGTTATAAATTTCATAAATCTGCATGAGCAGTTTGCTAACTAAGAAAAGGCAGCTTTCTGGTAGCTGTTACGGGAGATGCATCAATTAAGCACCGAAAATCAAGGAAACCCAATTTTACTGCAATAGGGTAATTTTGATACCTGAAGGGGAGCCTTGGAGCAACGGTCAAATTGTCTCCATGTGACCTATAGGTCACGTGTTTGAGCCATGGAATCAGCCACTGATGCTTGCATCAGGGTAGGCTGCCTGCATCACACTCCCTTGGGGTGCGTCCCTTCCCCGGACCTTGCGTGAACGCGGGATGCTTTGTGCACCGGGCTGCCCTTTAGAGTAATTTTGATGCCCAATTATTTTAAACCATTATGATCTATGAACTCCAATTATATTACAGTTGAACATGACATATGTTTAAATGATAAAAAAGATGAAAAGCAAAACTACAAAGAGATGATAAGAAAGAGCCACTACTGTTATTACCAAATAGAAACAAAAACTTACAGCAGTGATGGATAAACCTACCCTCCATTACGTCCCAACCTTTGTCCAGATCTGTCAAATGCAAGCCCTAGCAACACAAGGGAAAAAATGGGCTAAAGGACGTACGAGTATTACATAGGCTAAACAAACAAGATGAGGCAGGCCATTACCAGGTAGAACAACCAAGTCCACAGGTTCACAAGCCTGCATAACTAGAACCAATAAATCCTTCAGAAATACAAGTGTGTAGGCCAAACCAAATTAAATTTATAAGCATGAGAAGCAAATTTACAGCTCAGTTCTCACAGGCTGTATTCATCTTATGACTAAGGTATAAGAATTCACCTCATTCGTCATACTTCTGGTACAACACGTGAGAAGAAGCTGTGCGGAGCAAAGATGACTAAAAACAGAGTAAAACCAACAAGAGATCCAACAAGTACTCTTAATATACAAATTCTTATTGAGTAGAGCACATTCAAGACAATTCACAAAGCAAGTTTGCAAGATATCAAACCAAACCAATGCAAATCAACTTAAGCATCTTCACAGTAATGATAAAAGTAGGAATTACGAAAAATAAAGCATCAATCAAAATACCATCTTCACGCTCTTTTCCATCAGAATCAACTGGGGGTGGTTCCAAAATGTCCATCGAGCTTAGCACTAGATCATTCAGACTCGAAATTTTCAGCATTTTCATGTTGCTAAATCTGTCTTCTACACGCGGTACGTACACTGTCTTTTGTTTTTCCTGTTCTGACCAACCAAACTTATCGTTAAGCGAATCCACAGCATAATAATTTTTCTGTCTGTACATCTATGCATTTCCATTTTATATATGAATATAGCAATTTATTGATATTTCAGTCCGCTATACTCGGGGCAATAAAGTGAATGCTCAGCAATTATGCATTTTACTTCAGATTTCCTTACAATTCGGAGAAATTTTCTGAATTGTATCTTTTAACGTATGCAGTGCAGACATTTGAAAGAAAGAAAAAAGAAATGAATAAAATGAAAAAAAAATACAAAAATCTTTCAAAGTTTGATCAGACTTTCCAACAGAAGAAAATTTTACATGCAGAATACTACATTTCAATCGCAGATACTGATGCAATCCCAAAGGAAAATTACAATAATTCTAACAGCAGAAATATTCAGGTACCATATAGAAACCAGAAGAAACTTACCACTGGATTCATTGCATAGAACTTCTGCAAGAATTTTTGAAGTGCCAACCTCTCGTAAAGCAGCTGAGCTAACATAAGCACACAGGCTCTGGCTGGATTTGAACCATGGGGCTTCTAAAACAATATTCTGTATCGCATTATCTGAGAAAAGGACCAACACAAATATAAACAGTTCATAGATAATTTAATCGACGAAAAGTAACAAAAATTGAGCTAGATGTAGGACAAAGAAACACAAGCAGCAACAGTGGTATTGGCTAAGGCAAAGAAGTCGTCAGGCCATAGTGATTCAGACAGCAAAGCAACAGAGAGGAGAGTCATTTAGCAAGCTAGGCAGTGACTTCCAGGGTTCACTTTATCGCTTCAATAATCCGAAAGCATCCAACAGCGATTTCATCATTGTGGCTCCAAGAAGCTAATTTCATGAATTGCATACTTTGACAGTTCAAATTTTACGATAATAGGACAAACACCAAACAAGTATTTCAGGACGTCATTGTCCATAACATTTCTACAGTAACAACTGACTCGAACTCATTCAACCATTTTTAGCGAAGCAAAAATCTGTTATTTTAATGAAATCTACATCGAAGAAGCTGTCTCAAGACATACAATACAATATCTTGAAATTAAAGCAAGTTTAGCAAACAACATGAGCAAATAATTCATATAGGCGATACAAACTAGTGGGAATTAAGACTTAGTAGTCGTTAAACTTCCATATGATAGTTGGGACAGTCTTATTTTGGTCTAGCTAGAAACCTGTATGTCATCTTAGGGATGAAAGCAGGATTCAGAAAACCCTAATTTGTCTAGAGAGAAAAATTACTATCCAGTATTCAAACGAATAGAGTGAGATTAAGAGAACCTTAATTTGCCTTAAAACAAAAATTATAAGTATTGAAACGAAACAAGCCCAAATAGAAGAGGGATTCATATAGCCGAGCTCAACAAGTTTGGAATCAAGGCCTAGTTGATTAAATGATGAATCGAAATGACCTTTGAGTTTAAGCAGACAAAAACACAAACATAATATGTGCAATTCTATATCATTACACTACCTATACAAAAATAGGGAAATAGGAATTGGACCTTCATGGGCTCGTTGAATGGGACTCATATTCTTCAGCTCTTTACGAATTTTGGATCGGAGTGACTGCTTTTTCTGGAAAATAGCTTCGAGCTGGCGGGGATCGTCCATGAATGAACGGCGAGGATTTGGGGTCGGGTGTAACATTGCGGAACACAATGAGGGTGATGCTATCTTGCACGAATTGGACATCAGCGCCATTGCTGCCTTGTTAACTAACTTCCCTACTCTCATATTCTGTAGTGTAGGGGGCCGTTTGAAAGTAGCTCTTAAATAAAAATAAAATAATTAATCATGCTATATAAGTCTGCATTGTTTTTTTTTTAAAAACAAATATACCGCTAGGCAGACTGCTTAGTGGCTAATATATAAATAATAATCCCAAAATTTGGGTCCAAAATTACAATATATCCAAAGAAATGTAGAAAATGAATGCTGCTACTAGCTAATGCTAACAAGAGTAAAACTAATCTATCTATTACAAAGAAATGGAATACATGCCTCCGTGAAGTAGTGTAAGTGAATTCAATGACCAAGGGCAAACCAAGTAGCACCTCCAAGCTCTCACCAGGCGCCACGTAATGCGTTCCATAGGATATGATCCTAATGGACAAGGTAAATATGGACTCCAAACAATTACACCACTAAAATGAAGCTATCCAAGATTGAAAGAACCATGTGTAGCAATGCCTCCTCACCGTTGTGTTCCTTATACCTTTGAGACTATAGAAGAAGCTCATGAATGTAAAAGAGAGACATAACTGCTTGCTTGAACTATAGGGACAATATAGTGCATTCTCATCTCCAGATTGAGCATGCATAATACCACAAGATTATGATAGGACACTACACTGAATATTACAATAGCATATCCAAACATTAGTTTGTGTAGCATTTTATCAGAATATACATACTCCATTTGATATGTCAACACTAACAATTCTGCATTGTTTAATCCCTTGTTTGTGGCCTTTTCATTTTTTGGATAAAATAATTTCTGTATAAATTATACGACAATTGTTGTATTATTTTACTTTTATTACTGTTATAAGGGGAATAGAGAGGAGCTTTCGGTTCAGATGAATTTACAAAAAAACATAAAATTTTATTTTATTACATATTGGTCCATATTGCACTAACAGGCTATATAAAGAGCAATGCACATTGTACTTTACTGTCTGGGTCCGTTTTATTTGTAATCGAATGGACTTTCTACATACACACGCATCCCTCCAACCCCACCTAATAAACACGCTTTTCAACTATTTTTAAGGGTTTCAAAAAGATAAAACTTTGGGCGGAACTTATCCGAAATCTTCACCAGAAATCTTTGCTCAGCGACATGAAATGTTTTTGACCTTTTTTGTGTTCAAATTTTAAGTTACAGAGTAACTTTTTCTGTCTTTGTCACTCATCCTCTATATTTTCTTTTACTTGCTCCAGCTAGGCCTAGCCTTTGCCATTGCATTTATTTCAAAATTTCTCCAATTTTTCATTTGTATGTGAATTTTGAGTTTTGTGTAGTACTTCTCTCATCTATGGAAATTTCTATCTAAGACAAAAATAGTGATAAAAAAAGAACTTCAATGCCACCTATGTATGTGACGAAACTCCTCAGCGAAAGATTTTCATAGTTATCGAGTTTGGATAAACTCCATAATACAGATTTTGATATAAGTTGTTCACGAACGTTACCGATTATGACATAACGATTTCTTTGTTCAAAAGTTTCTGCTCTTGCATGGATGAGATTTCCTTTCTAAAATGGTAAATTTTAGAAGTTTGAAGTTTACTGACTGGTGCAATCAAGTTTCATATTTTTGGAACTGAACTGAACTGTTTGCTGTTAATTGCTATACGCATCGCCAATTGCTGAAGGTTACTAAGGAATTAACTAGGTATTATAGACTTTATAGTCTATGTTTAGTTGCTCTTGTGATGACTCCATAGGTCATATTGAGATTTAGCCTCTATTTTTGTATTTTGAGACTTCGATTAGCTTCGTTAGCATTCCTCGATTTGCATGCACAGTCCGTGTCTAATCCCAAAAAATCCTTATGCGAAAAATTAAAGAAAATATGAATTTTTGTCTTTAAAATAACTTAAGTTGACTACAATCAATATTTTATGTAAACAGACTCGAATCAGTATTTTGACGGTCTCGGTGGGTTCGTATCGTGATTTGGGATTTGGGCATATGCGCAAAATTGAATTCGGAATTCCCTAACTTATTTTGACTTATTTTGCCGAAAACTAGCATTTTTGAAAGTTGAAGAATTACAAGGTTTGATCGAAAGTTGACTTCTTAGCTAACATGTTCGGATTTTGATGTTAAAACTTAGAAAAGTTTTGTATTACTATTTGAAACTTGTTTGCAAAATTTGGTTCAATTCGGAATTGATTTGACATGATTCGAACACTTAAATGAGATTCTAGTGTTCTTGAGTTTCACTTCATTCATTTTGAGGATTGATTTGTAGATTTAGATATTATTTTGGTGATTTGGTTGTGCGAGCAAGTTTGTATGATGTTATTACACTTGTGTGCATATTTGGTTTGGAGCCCTAGGGGCTCGGGTGAGTTTCGAACGTGTTTCAGATGAGTTTTGCTTAGGAGAAGTTTGCTGGTGCAATACCAATTCTGGTGTTCTGTTGCAGATCTCGCAATTGCGAGCCTCACTTTTGCCTAGAATGATTCGCATTTGCGAGCATGGGCTGGGATGGGTGAATCTCTCATTTGCGAGAAATAGTTCACATTTGCAAACAGTGGACCTCCACATTTGCGAAGGAAGTGGTCGCAATTGCGATCACTGACTACCAGTGTACTGCTTCGCATTTGCATTTGCGATAGTTCTAGGTTCTCATTTGTGACCTTAATGTCACATTTGCGAATTTTGCTCTTCTATGACAAGGTTCGCATTTGTGACGCATGTATCGCATTTGCGATGTTCACAATTGCGAACAAATTATCGCAATTGCGACATCTACAACTAGGTAAAAGAGGGAGAAAATGGGACTTAGCTCATTGCTCACAATTTCTCAACCCTAAACACCCTAGAGACGATTTTCCAAGAGACTTCTTCCTAAATTCATAGGTAAGTGACTTTAATCCATTTCTTTTCAATTACCCATTACATTTCATGAGATTTCAACATCAAATTTAGGATTTCCATGGTAGAAATTAGGGATTTGGTGTCACGACCCAAATCGGAGGGCCGCGGCAAGCACCCGATACCTTACTCAACCGATTACCAACATAACATATCTTTCTTATTACACCATTATTGTTAAATGGCCAAAAGTGCCATCATAGGATAACGAGAATAAAACATAAGGGAATGCTAGACATAGGATGACCCAACATGATATAAAAACTTATACATGTGACATACGGTCCTATAAGGCCGACAAGATCATTTGTATGCTCAAAATATAGGCCGACAAGGTCATACAAGTATCCATATACATGACATCCGTCTACAGGCCTCTAAGAGTACATAAACATCAAAAAGGACGGGACATGGCCCTGCCATACCAATCAATACATGTCCAAATCATCCAAATAGGCAACTCCGGAGCAAGTGGAGTGCACCAACAACTTCCAATGAGCTGATAGCACTAGAAGGACTGTCAACCTATCTATCGGGACCTGGGAGCATAAAAAACAGCATTTCCAGGCAAAAGGGACGTCAGTACGAATAAAGTACCGAGTATGTAAGGCAGAAAAGTATAAATAAGAACAGTAATGTAAAGAGAGAAAACGGAGATATAACCTGTAGCATTTGAGTGCCTCAGAGGGCTACTGACATGAAATGCATGATATATATATATATATATATATACACACACACACACACATACATAAACTTTTAAAAACATATGCCTCTTTGGGCATCATCATCATCATCATATCATACCCGACCTCGAAGAGGACTTAGTAAAAATGTACCCGACCATCATAAGGCTCGATATAATTGTACTTAGACACGTGGAGCTCAGTAAACCTAACTGATTAGTGGTTGCACAATAGGTGCCGTACCCAGCCGACTATAGTGCGGCTCGGTAGAGTAAAATAGATACTATATATAATGCATACTAGACTCATGGAATCACGTTCTAAACCTTTCAGAGTAACGTAAGGTTGTTGCAGCTTCGATTAACATTATGGACATCCATACTATCAATATGAACCTTAGTAGGATTCACGGATCATACATACTTGCATAGAATAACTTTATAAGGAAAAAACAACATGGACAACCTTAGTTTCTAGGACGCCTTAGTTTCTAGGAGTATATCCGTTATGAAATAACGTATCATTTACATTCATTTCACTTTAGATCATGCCAAAAGAAATAAGGAAGTGCCTTAACATAACTTAACCACGTTGAATCCTTAATACCTTCCAAACAACTCTTCAAACAAGTCAACTCAATATATTATAGTATAAGGAGATTCAAAATCAGTGCTGAGCAAAGGCTAAGTTTGTAACTTAAGCTAGTAGCTGGTTTACGTAAATTTGGGCAGCATCTCCCCTGTAACAAGGGCCTCCTCCAATGCCATATACCAACAACAATAACCAGAGAAATCCAGCAACATATAAATATCAATAACAAGACACCATATAATAACGACATGTCACACCTACTTCACGATGATTGGCAAGCTCCGATTGGAATCCGTATAACCCATATCACCCCTTATAGACTTCTTACATTAACTTAACAGTATTATTAACATGATAATGAAGTCATTCATCAATGATTCCATCCTTATACCATATATTTATAACAAAAAAAATAATCCACAACTCCAACTATCTTCAATTAGCAACTTTACTCACTAGTTCATGTCTGGTCCATCCATTTAACTTAATCAACATCAAGATAACCTTAAGAACTTGCAAGAACACAATACACATACCTCCTATAGTAATTTCAAGTCAAAATCCAAGTTATATTTAGCTTACAATAGCCCTTAATGGCAATAAAACACCATAGAAGTGACTTAAGCTAATCCAAGTATTATCTTGTAGTTTATCATCCTAATAACTTAAACAACATACAAGAAAGCTTAAGCACAATTAGTAGGCTGTTATAATCATCTAATCCAGTAGCAACAACTTGAAATTTCAGTCAAACACAACCCGCAACTATCCTCAATGACAACACAACCTCAAAGAGGTGTTGTTCTTCGCTAGAACTAACTTTTGATGTTGAAATATGGTGTAATCACTTTGGAATCACTCCAAACCCTTATGGTTTCTGTTTAGGAGAG